CACAGCTCGCTGAGCAACCTTGAGCTTCCTGATACGGCCAGCAGTGAAGGACCACGTCTCAAATCCGTAAGTCATCACTGGCAACACGCACTGGTTTTACAATTTCGTTTTCAGGTTTTGAGGTATGTATAACAAGAAAATGTGTCCTAGTTTCCCGAACGCTGCCCAGCCGGGTTGAATCCGTCGATTGACCTCTCGGTCGAAGTTGGACTTATCTAGTCGGACTATTTGTCCCAGGTAAACATACTCGTCAACAACTTCGAGCTTAGTGCTCCCAACAACTACCGGCATAGGTGTAACATGGCCATTAAACATGATCTTTGTTTTGTCCATGTTCATCTTAAGACCTATCCGTTGGGAGACACTATTAAGGTTATTGAGCATAGTGCTTAGGTCCTCCAGCGATTCTGCCATAAGGACTATATCGTCGGCAAATCGAAGGTGAGTGATGTACTCGCCATTGATGTTGATACCGTATTCTTTCCAGTCCAGAAGCTTGAAAACGTCTTCCAATGCAGCGGTGAAGAGTTTCGGTTATATAACGTCACCACGTCTTACACCTCTCTGCAGTTGGATAGGTTTCGTGCTCTGACTCTGTACTCGGATAGCCATCGTAGCCTTACTCTACAAACACTTCACTTCGATATACCCGACAGTTAACTTGGCACCACTGAAAAAACTGCCGCACCGCCCAAATTTCGGCGGAATCAAAGGCTTTCTCATAGTCCACATACGCAAGGCAAAGTGGCAGATTGTACTCTTCTGTACAATTTGCCGAAGGGTGTGTATGTGCTCCATGGTACTAAAGCCTCTTCGGAAACCGGTTTGTTCGGGAGGCTGGAAGTCGTCAAGTCTGCGTGCCAGATGATTCGTAATGACTCTCGAAAACAGCACGTAGACGCGGCTCAGAATAGAAATCGGTCTGTAGTTCTTCAAAAGAGCGTTGTTGCCTTTCTTGAAGAACAAAACCACCGCACTTCTGCTCAACGCCTCCGAAGTAGTGCTACCATGGAGGACGGAATTAAAGAGCTTCTGAAGGACTTCAAGTACCGGTTTTCCACCCGCTTTTAAAAACTCCGCTGTAATTCCATCCTCCTCTGGGGCCCTGCCGTTTTTAAGGTGTTGGAGAGCCATTCTAATCTCGCTCAGACTGACGTCCGGGATATCTTCAGAATAGTATCGGATAAGACTCGCTGTTGTATCGTTACTCACACTTGCGTGTGGCTCCATCGATGACGTGTATAGCTGCCCATAGAACCTCTCAATCTCACTCAAAATCTCATGTATCCCGGAAACGAATCACTCAGAATACCAGCGTAAAATAGCAGCTTAATGCTGCTGTGTTTCGCATGATGAGTGTAGAGAACCGGAGACCCTTTATACTGGACACGAGGCATTCCATTTTAGTCCTCACGGGTAACAACGCATCTGCATTTTGATTCGTAATCGAGGATAAATGCAGATGTCTAAGGGTCACAGCAATCACTTACCATCAGGTAAGTGATTGTTGTGTAAAAAAAACGATGCTGCCACACTCGGTCTTCAGCTTTGACCGTTGGCTCTTTCTGGCAGACAGATCTCTGGCAAAAACTTTGGACCCTTGGTTCCGCTCGATCGCTTCTTCAATACAAGCTGTATTGAAGTTGCGTAAGTCCCGCCGCATGCATTTGGAGATCTGTCTGTTCAGTTGCCTGTATGCTGTCAAATCTGTTGAAGACTGTAGCTTCATCTCCCGTCTAACAGCCATTAGATTAAGAGTTTGATCGCAGAGTTTTTGTGTTCTTCTACGGCAGGTATTGCAAAACGGACATTTTCCACCTTGTCATTCATATCATCCACTTCATTGCTGTCTTCTACGCACTGAAAACGGTTTTGTAACTCGAGCTGAAAGGTTTCGGAACTTTGGGATAGAGCACGAAGGGAACAGAGTGTTGACTTCATTGGACGAGACCTCTCCAACTTAACATTTAGGTTCAGTATGCCTCTAAACATTCGGTGATCGCTACCAGTTTTCACCCTCGCGAACACGGACCCATCACTGAACAGTTGTCGTCTGGTAGTCATTATGAAGTCAATCACATTTTTGTCGAACCGTCGGGGCTCGTCCAGGTCCACTTCCTGTGGGGCCGCTTCTGAAAGAAAGAGTTCATGATAAAGAGTCCCACTTAGTCCATGAAATCGACCAGCTGTTGACCTCTTGGGTTCCGTTGCCCTATTCCGAATTTCCCTACTTTCAGCTCACCGTTCCCTCTTGTGTCTAGTTTTGCGTTGAAGTCTCTCATTAACACCGTATAGTGGGTTTTGGAGGAATGCATGGCTCTAGAGATATCCTCATACATTTTCTCCACCTCCTCATCGGGGTGTGCCGAGGTTGGGGCGTAAACCTGTATGACCTTCAGCGAATACCGTTTGGTGATTCTAAGTATAAGGTACACAACCCTCGTCGACACACTCTCAATCTTTACAATCTTGTTAACGAGAGACTTGTGGACGATAAATCCGACACCTCCTTGGGACAGATGTTCGCCCTCCCGGTGATAGAGCAAGTTGCCGGATTCGAGGATTACCGTGTCCTCCCCCTTTCTTCGGACTTCGGATAATCCTATAATATGCCAGCGTAACTTGTCTATCTCTTCTTCCAGCTCCACGATCTTCTCGTCAGTCCTCAGGGTGCGTGCGTTGTATGTTGCCAGGTCGAGTCGTCTTAGGTGGCAACCGAACCTCCACCGGAGATTCTTAGCACTCCCTGCCCCGCCGTTACCATGGTCGCCACCGTAGCCAGGAATAGCGGGGCTGCCGGGGACTTGAGGCCATCTCTTTGCTACTCTCATCGGAGGGGGGTATTTGCCATAGTTGCCACGCTTGGCGAGCGGGTCGGCAACCGCAGTTTTTTTATTCTAATTTTTGCTGTTATCAGGAAGATGCTACTGCCCATCCCCTGCCTGTTTTCTTTTGTCGCCTTTTACGACACCCACGGGAAGATATGGGATAGTGGATATTCTTAACCGCCACTACACGGCCAAGCACTAGCTTATAATAAGTAAAAAAAAAATACCCGGGCCAATGACGGGTAGCAGCGTCAATGGTCTGATAGCTTCTGTCTGGTTCCTTCCTGTACTAGTTATACGTAGGTATTGTCTTGGATTAGAAAACGCCATTACAATACTCTTCTACTAAGCAATCTAAATTTTGTTAGTAGATCTTAGTTAAATCAATTTTATTTGGGTATTATTTTTTTGTATGTGTGATAGTTATTTTATTTTAAAATGGAAAACATTGAAAGAATCTAGATGAGACGCTAGATTACTACCTTTGTTCATAAAAAAATGTGAATATATTTTACAAAGATTCCAAGGTCGTAATTTACAAAATGAATATTTATTTCATGTCATTACTTGTCGCTTGACAGGGGAAACTGGTAATTTAGTGGGAGAAAGAGAACAGATAAACTCTTGAGCAGACCTCAAGTCGTTGCTAAACCAACATTTTGGCGATCCAAGGTCTGAAGAATGATTAGCTATGGAGTTAGAAAGTCTAAGAAAATATAGAAACGAAAGTTACCAAGAATTTTGTCACCGGGTACAACATTTTAAAAGCATTTTGTTTTCTAAAATAAACGAAACTATTAATAACCGAGTCTTACGACTAGCTAAACAAACTATATACGACAACACCGCATTGAACGTTTTCTTATACAATTTACCTGCTTACTTAGTGAGATTAGTGAGACTACGTAATATTACCTTAGAAGATGCATTAAAAATCGTCTTAGAGGAACAGAACTTCCAAACAGTTTATGATAATAGGAACCCAAGGTCTAATCAAAATTTTAGACAAAACCGTTTCCAAAATCATCCTAATTTTAACCGTAATAATAATTATAAAGGCCCAAGTTTTCAATCTCAAACAAACGGTCATCCATCGAATAACCAAAATAAATCATTTAATTCAAATAATATTTCTCCTCACTTCGGGAATAATCATAAAATGTACAATAGAAATAACTTTAATACGAACTCTACAACTAGGTCGCCAGTACGACCGTCATCGGCGCAACACCGTCAGCATTTTTCGCGAAACGCAACGAATAATATGCAATATCAAGCGCCACATGTGTCGTCGAACTCAAGTACTGACGTCACAATGAGGACAGCTAGTTCAAGACGCGTAAATTATACAGATACTGAAAATAATATTCAACCTAGTACCTCGCAAAACCAAGGTGATTTTAATCCTTATTCGGTCGATAGAGAATATGAACAGATAGGAAATTTTTTATAACAGCCTCAGCAATACGTAAAAAATAGAGATTAATTATACAAAAATTTTAAATTTGCCTCATTTAAGTATACCGGAATTAAATGCAGTTTTCATGTTAGACACGGGGGCACAAGATCATTTATCAGCCCATTTTAAAAGTTAAGCTGTTCGAGCCTTTTGAAGTCATCAGCAGTCATGCGTAAGTAGACATGAGGAAGTTGTTTATATTACCTTGCCTAGCATTTTTAAAACTCAGATAAAACATAAATTTTACGTTTATAGTGTGGACGAAAGAATGTGGCTTGATAGGAAGCGAATTATTAAAAGTTTTAGACTGTTCTATTGATATGAAAACCTTAACTCTTACAAAAAATGCTAAAATTCCTGTAATTTATTCACCACCTAAAAAAAACGTATATCTTGCCGCCAAGATGTGAACTTAGAGTTTCATTACCAGTAAACCTTAGTAAGGGAGAAGTAATTTTGAATTACGTACAATTTTGCGAAGGTGTTAGAATGCCGACAGCTTTGGTTAATTGTGAAAATGGTCTCGCTACCACAGTAATAGTAAATTGTACTGACGTAGAACAAAAACTGGTAGTTACGTCACCTTTTAAAGTGGAACCATTTGAAATAACCGCATCATTAAATAACAACAATGAAACAAATTTAAATTTTGCAAATCACCGAGATGTAAACGAACTACTTAATGAAAATTTAAAAAGTTGAGGTTAGATCATATGAATGAAGAGGAGAAAATTACTATAGAAAAATTATGTAGAGAATATTTAACATTTACTAATGAAGTAAAACATGAGATAAGGACTAAAAACGAGGATCCAATTAATATTAAAGCTCACCGTCTACCACCACTCCAAACGGAAGAAATAAAAAGACAGGTAGAAAAAATGTTAAAAGATAACATTATTCAGGAATCTTTCTCTCCTTGGAGTGCACCGGTTCATGTAGTACCAAAAAAATTAGACGCGTCGGGTATCAAAAAGTGGAGAATGGTCATCGATTATAGACGAATAAACGACATTACGACTGATGATAAATATCCTCTGCCCAACATTAACGATTTATTCGACATGTTAGGTAAAAGTACATATTTTACGACACATGACTTAGCGTCAGGTTATCACCAGACAGAAGTCAGAGAAGAAGATTGATCAAACACTGCATTTAGTACAGCTTTCGGTCACTTTGAGTTTAATAGAATGCCTTTTGGACTGAAGACAGCTGCTACGTTCCAAAGAGCAATGGACAACGTGTTGAGAGGACTACAGTGAATACATTGTTTATTTTATTTGGACGATGCCATTATTTTTTCAAAAAGCTTGCCTGAACACATAGAAAAACTTAAAGCCGTTTTTGAAAGATTTAGAAGAACAAACTTCAAAGTACAGCTGGTTAAGTCACATTTAAGAAAAGAGGTGTCATACTTAGGTCATACAATAACTAAGGAGGGCCTCAAGCCCAATAGAGATAAAATAGACGCTGTACTTAAGTACCCTCTTCCAAAAACAGTGACAGAAATTAAAAGTTTTTTAGGATTAGTCGGTTACTATCGCAAATTTATAAGACTTTGCGAAAATAACAAGACCTCTCACAGTATGTTTAAAAAAGGGTAAAAAGATAATTTTAAATGAAGAATATAAGGAAACCTGTAAAAAACTTTTAACAAATGCTTCATTATTACAATTCCCAGACTTTGAAAAACCTTTCATATTAACAACAGATGCATCCAATTATGCTATTGGAGCTGTTGTATCACAGGGTACTATTGGAAACGATAAACCAATAGCTTACGCAAGTAGGACATTAAGTGACACAGAAACTAGATATAGTACTATAGAAAAAGAGCTTTTAGGGGTAGTTTGGGTGGTAAAATATTTCAGACCCTATTTGTACGGAAAAAAATTTACTATTTATACGGACCTCAGGCCTCTAGCCTGGCTCTCTCTCTCTTAAGGAACCCTTAAAGAACAGTAAGTTAACTTGTTGGCGACTTAGATTGGAAGAACACGATTTTGAAATTAAATATATAAAAGGACAGCAAAACACAAACGCAGATGCCCTGTTAAGAATAAGATTAAACGTATTAGACATCGATCTCGATTCAACTCTAGCTAATATAGACTATGAAGATGAACGTATCAAACAAATAGTCAAAGAATTAAATGACGAATTTGTAACAATCAGAGAAAAGAAACCTAAAACACCATCAGTTATATCAACTCACGACACGAAAAGTGAGAGATCAATAGTTGTTTCTGATATCGAAGTTGAACTGATGGGATTATCAGACGATGGTGTCACAGCTAACTCAATATCAAACAGGGAACATGAAGGGATTCCTATTCTGAATAAAGCTATAGACATAAAACCACGTCAAATTTTATTCTCCACATGGTTTACTTATAGAATAGCTGTTAAAGATATTTCAAATAAGAAGCAACGAATACTAGAAGTTCACATGCCTCTAAGTAATGAGAGACTTATCAAGGACTTTTTTAAAGAATATATTGATTTTAAACACAAATATTATATCTATTTCGAAAACGCGAAATTCAGGAAATCTTTTAGTAAAGTAGTAATCGAATTATACAAAAAAGGAACTTATAATTTGATCGAATGTACAGACAGAATAGTTAATCTAACCGATTCAGAACAGGACCAAAGACGAGTAGTTGTAGCGTACCACGAAGGGTAAACGTGTCATAGAGGTATTAACGAAACCTTAGCAAAAATCCAAAGACAGTACTGGTGGTCAAATATGAAAGAAACTATAACAGCCATTATTAATTCATGCGAGCCATGTCGAAAAATGAAATACGAAAGAATACCACTAAAACCTTTTATTCAACTAACACAAAATCAATATAGCCCATTCCAAGAAGTCTTCATGGATCTTTTATTTATAGAAAAACAGTATTACCTTACTGTGGTCGATGCTTTCAATAAGCTTGGACAGGCTATAAATATTCCCAATAGAAGGACACCAGAAGTAGTCAGAGCATTAATAAAATATTTCAGTATATACGCAATTCCACGCAAAATAAACAGCGATTCTGGAGCTGAATTTAATAACGAGCTAATTAAAGAACTTTTAAACCTGTACAAAATAGAAGTTCATATTAGCACACCAAATAATCCTAGTTCAATGGCCATAGTGGAAAGATTCCACTCCACAGTAATCGAAATATATAGATTAGCAAAGTATGATAAAAGCGATCTTGAAGCATGTTCGAAATGGCAAAAATCAAAGAAGGTGATACAGTATTTATGAAAACAACTCGGACAAGGAAAGCTAAGGAATTACCACGTTATGAAAAAGCAAGAGTAATAGGTCAAACAAATCGTAACATTGTTCCAGTAGAGTTAAATAAAAGAAAAAGTAGAGTAGCTGCTAAAAATATAAAACGTCTTCCACAGGTCGTGGCTAGTACTTCTGGCACTTCTGGACCAGATCCACAGCCTGGAACTTCAAAATCTGGAGCGGAACCCGGGAATAACCCCGCTGAAATATGGAACAGCAGTGATGACGAGTAGTTATTGGACAGTTTACAAAACAGTAGAGATAAACGCATTAGGAATACAAATTAATAATAATATAAATATATACAACAAAATTAAAACAATTATAACAGAAAATAGCCTAGAAAAAGAACTATTAGTTACACAAAAATAAATAGATTGGTTAGTTAAAGTAGTTCAGGACAAATACGATCAAATAAGTCCTAGCCATAAAAGAAAAAGAGCCATTATGAGTCCTTTGGGGTCCATAATAAAAATTATATCAGGTAATTTAGATGAAGAAGATGCCATCAAATTCAACGGGGAAATTGCAAATTTGAGAGTTAAAGAAAACTTAGCAGAACGTAAAATATCGTCAATGCAAAAAGCGTTTAACGCGTTAACAAATGTATCTAATGTTATCAATAGTAACGTTGAAAACTTGCACTTTAAGTTTAAACAAGTTGACAAACTAGAGTCATAAACTGACAATCTCATTCGTACAATGAATAGCCTTTATCAAATTCTTAATAACTTTCGTTATATTTATGAAAATATCCAGGAAATAGAAACAGCCATAGCATTAAGTAAATTACGCACCCTACATCAATCCATCATTAATTCTACAGAATTACTAAACTTGAATTTGAATTGAATTATTAAACTAAATTGGAACGTAACATTATCCTAAAATGTTATATAGATAAAGATAAACTAGTTTTTATTTTAGAAATACCATTAATAGAAAAAGAAACGTATTACTATCACAAGATTATTCCCATCCCTATAAAAAAATTGACCAACACCTATACTATAATTCCTAAATATCCCTACCTATTAGTGAATGGTTTGAAATACAGAAACGTAGTAAATCCGTGTACCCAGATAGAGCCGAACAAACACTTATGTTCGGAGGAAAATATAGCAACAACTTCAGTCATTGCCATCAACATGAAATAAAAATAGAGAAGCTAAAAATACAGAAAATAACTTTTGACCACTGGATACTATATGCAGAAGACGATGTTATACTGACGGAGCAGTGCAAAAAGATGATACGCACAGATTTAATCTACAGGGGACATACATCTTGACGCCGAGCAAAGGTTGCGGCATACAAATAGGAAAAATAATAATTGGCCTAACGAGCAATATGTCAGATGCCAGTCTGCAGATATCACTTGTGAAGATTCCGGAGGTGCAGTACGACATGGCGGAAGAAGAAAAAAGGTTGGACTTAACAAACGTGGACTTTAGTGACGTTAAAGAAATTATGAATAGTGCTAGAAATAGTGAAATGGTGGTAGAAACTTTAGTGACTAGTAAAATAAGTATATGGACTTTAAGTCTTTATGTTGTAGTACTGTTAATTATAATTTTTATTGTATTTAAATGGAAATTTAATAGTTTATGTCAGAGACAAAATTATCCGAAGTCAGCTCCATTTCCTTCGAATAATATTTCTCTTGGGGAGGGAGAGGTTATCCGGTTCAGTGTAGATGACACGCCAGGCGTACTTTTGTGTGTGCCATATGACACACGAGTCGTGTCTTTTTAAAAATCGTTATAACTCACTCAAATTACGTTTTTGGAAAATTTATCCATAACAAAATATTCATTATTTTGCAAGTAGTCCATGCCTGCAGCTTCGTTTCTGGATATTTTGAAAATTTGAAATTTTTAGGGGTTGACAACCTTTTTTTAACTTGTACATGGTACTCTTTTTACTTTGTGGGTTTTCAATCATATTGTGGAAAATAGTCTAATAAGTAAGAAATAATAGCACTCATTGCGATCGCTCACAAACTCAAGTTGTAAATAAATTTCTGGAAAACAAGTCTCCTGTTAAAAAAACAATGCGTTTGTTTGTCTTATTGTTTAAAATGGTTAAACTGCCGTCTTATTACTATCATATGGCCGAATAGACCTACGAAGTACCATGTGCTCTTGTGATATGATATAAGGTTTATTTTTGCTTGAAACAGTTTAAAACGGTTCATGCATAAAAAAAAGTTCGCTAATAAATAGTCTTTCGTCAATCCGTCGCCGTATAGCGCCGGCGTTTGTTTCCTTTTGAAAACACTTGTTTTGCTATTCTTACTAATTAGACGTTTTCAAATCGACTTTACTCTTACATTTGTATAACATTAAATAATAAACCTAGCAAGCTAACAGCATAGCAAAGTGGCGAAGCAATCAGCTTTGTAGCGGTTTCTAACGTTTGCCGTTGAGCAATCAGTTTCAAAATAGGAGGTTCAGATGCCTGGATGATCAGTAATCGTTTGCTGAAAATAGAATTTGAAAATTCGAAACCGTTCTCGAGATAATCGTGGGACAGACGGACAGACGGACAGACATCGTGAAATCAATAAGTGACTTCGCAAGCTTCGCCATTTAATAATTAACATTTGTAAATATTAATGAATCATAAACTTTATTTTTTTCCAAATTAAGGTTCTTGATTGTTTGATATTTACAAATATTATTATTAGGTGAAAATTTAATTAAATAAAAACCAAGGTTTTCCGGGGTGATTTAGCTGTACTTACTTATATAAATGATTTTTTTTATAAAACAAAAAATAGTACAAAATCTTTATAATCTCTGCATAAAAAAGTCACTTACTCTCAATTTCAAAGAAAACATGTAGTTA